GACGGACGTTATTATTTTTTTCGGACATTTCCAAAAAAATCCTAACTATCAATAAATTTCTTTTAATGTTAAAAAAAATTCTTGGGAAAGCTATGGATTGCCCACCGAAAAAAATCATGCACAACCTAAAGGTGAGAAAAAACGTTCCCTAGAAAATTGCCTCTCGAAAACCCACCGACAGATAAACGAACAGAAGCCCTCGATGTTGACATTATGTGAGCTATCACCCAACTAAGAAACCAAGCCTGTTTGAGAACAGAAGACTGCGTATTGCACGGAGCTCCGCCCTTCTGCTTCTTTTGATCACTTGGCCATGTGTCGGGTTGTTACATATATGGTCGCTGCGAATGGGTCTCCCATAGCACCTTACTAGTTACTGGTAGTGACTACAATAAATAGTCCAAAATATAACAAGTGCAATGACGGCACAGTTATTTTAGAAATACAGTGGAGCCCGTTGGTGACCTATAAACGGGGTTCCACTGTAAACCTAGTTGGAAGCAAAGAACTTTCAATTTTCTCACTTTTTCCCGAGAAATAGCCGGGATTGCATGGGAGAAGACAACTACATCGAGCAACTGCAATTGAGGCCAGCTCAAGTGACGGCACGAGTATTCAGGCAAAACATTACATTACATTTTTACAACCGTTTTTTACAATCTCGACTTTTCCGAAAACAAAGCCAACTACTGAATGGAGCTTTTGAAACGTTGATAATTTCAAAGGAAGATGAGACAAAAATGATTCTTCTTGGTTCCAGAATATTCAACTGGACTGATACAATAATCAAAAGAAGTTTCAGAAACAAAGGAAGCATTAAAATTGTTCTTTGTGCAGCAAAATACGCAATACGCAAATACAGACATTTGGTCGGTGTGGGAGTATTGTGGGTGGATGACGTCACACAAGCGTCTCAACAATTAGATTATGGCAAATGAATTGACAAAAAAATTTAAAAATTCAACAATTGTCATACAAGATAATAATAGTAGATATAACATCTTACTGCATTGTTGTATAGGAAAAAAAAACGTTTTCAAGCCGTTTCAAAGGAAAACAAGGATGAAATTTCAAAACAACACTATCTATGAAACGGTGACTTTATCATCCAGCCTGACCGTCAGAATCATAAACGACCGGATTATTTTTATTGTCATAGGAAATGATCCATAAAACTGAGTTGAACTGTAAACAAGTGGGATGCATCATTCCGGATCTATATCCTTCCCAGTTCAGTTTTTTTCAGTTTCAAAGAGAAGATCATTTTTGATTGATAATTTCAAGGTTGCAAAAGTATTTCGATACGAAATGAATTCTTGAAAATGCCATATTCAAATAACTTTTCTGCTCTGTAGTATTATATTGAAATTTTAGTTAGACGGGGAGAAATGTTCCAAAAGCAAGGGAGAAAAACAAGGGAGGTGGATAATAACCGCACTAAGCCAGTCCAATTTCTCGCCGGCTGCCGTGTCTCCGTGTTTTCAAATCCAGGGCGATCATTCTCACTTCCCCTCTCCACTAAACACTGACAAACTTAAACTTAAACGTGCGAATATCGAAAATTTATCAGTTTTAGATCTTAAGTGTGAGATCAGCTATTCTTGTCCTGAAGTGAAAGGTGAGAGAAGATTCTCCAGGTCACGGAATCGATATTATAATGGGTCATGGTCAAATGATCTAGAAGGATCAAGTTGAAAAAATCAGGGTGCGAGAACAAAGCGAAGCTGGTTGACCCATGCCTAGTACTGTGGAACCTCGATTAAACGGAAATATCTCATGAAGTCCTCGAACGATATTCTTCGTCTCACTAATAGTGAAATATGTTGAAAAGAACCCCAATATAACGAAACCTCGATGGCCACGAGCATATTTTGTCAGTCTCTTGGCCCTTCGTTATATCAAGGTTCCAATGTATCTTAATCTGCTATCGTTTAGACCGTAGTTTTATCTTTTTGCCGACCAAATGTATCGAATGGAAGACTGAAATCATCAGCGAAACTATGAAGGCCCCAACCTGACCACTTTTTTGTCTACCCAAACCACCAATGGGCTACTATATACTAAGTGGCATCCCAGCTTATCAACGAAAAGTATAGTTCAGCGAAGCTTTTTACATAAACAGTAGACAGTTAAACAACAGGACTTACCAAAGTTTATGATAGACTTACTCATTTGCATTGCATTGTTAAGGTTACTCAAGCCGGTGTAGAGCGGAACGGCATGCACTACACATATCAGCCGATTAACCTCGAGTTGCGACAAAACATTTCCAATTGTACTGCTTCTTCAAAACATGCACCTCAATATATGGGAGCTGGGCTAAGCAACTTTAGTCCCCCACCCCACAACAGCCCCATTGCTTTATTTTCCGTTCGTTCTCCAAGAAAGTTGTAAACTGTTGGAGTAGTCGACCGATATGAGAGCAGTGGCTCAGCAGTGTCTACTTCACAGTTGTCTCAGTAAATGTCTCATGGTGTTGCTAACATGAAACAAAACACTAGACCGAAGTTATTTTTGCTCTGGGTATTCTAGGCGAGCCAAACGATAAGATGGAAATATGGAAATGAAAAGCGATATCAACACGACGTGATATGTTCAGTGTCTTTCCGTGAAAATAACAATTTAGAACATTATTAGAACTCATCAGCATACTATTTTCTTCTGCAAAATTTTAAATGTGAAATCCTTTGTTTTCTATGTACCCCGGCGGGCTGGATAATATGAGCAACCTTTTATTAAAACATATTCAGTTGACACACCTGCCAGAAACAAGTGATTGCCCAGATATTTGTTGGTTTAATGATACAAAGCTTGCTGTTTAAGCAGCGGTCTTGTTTTGAGAGAAGGCATCATTTGCCGGCCTTACTTGTATTGCAAACTGTCTACATTATATTTGTTCTCTCCACGACTAAGTCAGTATTGCCCTGGACTGTTTCTGGGGTTGTTTCGGAGCAAGAAGTCCACTTTCATTTCGAAGTGTCATTATAGCAAGTACATCCCCTTTGAGGTGCTTGAAAAACCTTGAGTAAGATATTCGAGGAACACTTGTTTTCTATTGACCCGATCAACGCGGCTCGACTCGCTCCACTGGTGCAAAAAATCTTCGTTACTACCGCCATTGATTGATCGATATTTTTTGTGATTATTATTTCTTACTCGCCAAAACAAAGTTCAACGCTGACTAGGCCCTAAATGCTTGGGTTTTTTTTAATATCTCACATGAAGACAGCGTCAGGGATGCCACTTAAAAATTGCTCAAAAAGGTCATTTGTATATTTATAGCAAAGCTATATGTTGCCAACCGCCCTCCCAAGGCTCTCCTTCTTGAAGACAGTGGTCGGGTGGACATGCGCTATATTGCCTTTCAACATGAATTATCTTCACAGTTGCCCGGGAGCGATTCCATGGTCCAGGAATTTTCGGGTGAAATTCACACGCAAGAAAATTTGAAGGAAAATTTTGAGGAAATCGGGATTCTTGGTCTCTTAAATGTTATTTTTTAAAAGGTAAAATTATCCATCAGAGACCTTGGAACAAAGCGAGAAATGAGACTGGTCTGTAAGGGAAGAAAAGTTTCCAATTGTCTTCCTTTAACGCCCACTCGAGGAGTGCTGCCGAACGTTCAAAACACAAACGGAATAAGAATTTATAATTGGAATGCGATCGCAGCGGGAATTAAAATCGCTACGACTGGAAACTTTAGAACAGCGTTTTTTGAGTCAGTGACAAGTTTTGTCCTGTTGAAAGAGTTAATATCTACTGTCAAGATACGGGTTGCCGCACACTCTGTCAAGCAAGGCTCAAATGGTTCCGGCCACGGTCACCAAAAAATATCTTCTTAAGCCAAAACCCCGAGGAAAGATTATTTATACCTACAGCTAGCTTAGTCTAAAATGTTTCCTTTCCATTAGAAAAACCATTCTTTGTTTTTTGTTTTAACCGATTTTCGATTTCAATTTACAGGGAAATTTTCTTTCACCGATAAATTGATCGGAAATGCAAATGTTTGCTCTACACTCGAGACACACTTGAGTTGAAAGGTAGAGCGCTTCCTATTGGTTCACAGGTTGATCGACCCTCCTCTGATTGGCTGATGGAATTAAGATCATCAAACCATTTGGTGATGCCAGAATTAAAAGAGATTTTTGAACCGCAGCGCCAATTTCATGGGTAAAATTTCTTGACATGTCTACCCCATCCATGGTTTGCAAAGACTGACATAAAAATATTGAAAAATGGAAATATCAAAATTGTGCAAGTCAGAAAGTAAAACACACAGGGTTGCGTAATTTAGTTCCGCCCGACCATCACACAACATAAACAGAAATCTAAAAAATATATTTTTCATTTATTTCAAACACAACCATATATAATTTTAGGATGAAACGTAAGTACGACGTTCATATATATACTCTGCCTATTTACGTGATAAAGCTCGTCACAGCAAGCGTCCACGGCATTGTTCGTCGTCGTATGTCAGTCCATATTTCAAAGCAAATCCAACACTTCTTTTGTGAATTGCGAAATGATACATATTTGGCATGAAAACCTAGCCGATACATTTGATCGTTCCAAAGGACACGTTACCATAATTCTCGGGCTAAGGAACATATTTTTTTTGTTCGCTTTCGTTTAACGGCAAACTAGTAGATTTATAAACTCCCTTACAAATTTATACAATGACAAACAAATTAGGCAAGTCTCTACTGTACCTAAAGCTACATGTATTTGATGTTATGAGTTTGAAATGAAACAACTTCAATCGCTCGCTATAAAAATATAACCGCGCTGTCGACGCTCGGTATACATAATGACGAATGCGACGAGTGTCTTCTATGGGATGTCGTGTTTCGGCATTTCATTACACTGACCTTCTTGAATCGCTTGTTAAAAACAAGGAACTAAGTTGTTGTACGGATACGGGTTGTAGTTCTGGCTGCTCTCCGACACAGGCACCATATAACCACTACCAGGAACCAAAGAGTAAGTGTTATGGCCGTACATCATCACTGGCATGTAGCTCACAAAGCTGTGCTGTTTGGCCAAACAGTCTATAAGTCGAAGGGTTTGTTTTCGTTCGTGTCCCATGAGGCAAACCGTCGAAGAAGCAACAATCTGATAGAGAACCATCAAATATTCATATTGACCTCGCTCGTCTCCGATGAAATGATTCGCTAAGTAGCTCTGCAACTTCTGCTGCTGCTGCTGAAGATCGTTGAAGTCGATGAAGAAACGACTGCACATGTATCTCTCTAGGACCTTGATCTCTTCGAAGTTTTCTGGCACATAATTCCGGACCAAGAGATTGCAGTACTTAAGAAGACCGCCTCCTCGTATTTCCTCTGGGTTACGGGTAGCTATCAGTTTGTTGTCTAAGTGATGAAGGGCAACTTTAATGTCACCGTAAACCGACTCAGCAACAACGGTGGGGAAGAAATTCGGCTTCATTGGCACCGGTGACAGCTTGTAGAAGCCAAAGAGTGAATCGAGAATAATCTGAAACGAATCCACCGAGAACTCAAACTGCCTACGCATCGAGTCGACGAACTTGAGTTCGACATTTTTCCCCTCGTTGTTCCAGAGAGAAATTAGCGACCACCGATCGTTGTCAGTCGACACTTTTACCATCTTTTGTACGTAAGCTTCCTTCAAAGTACAGCTATTCATTCTATCCTTCGACACTCCGATGGGAAAAAAGTTGAGAAGGGAGTTCAACACGACACACTTGATCTGTTGTAAGTGCGAATTAGAGCGAATCTCCACTCCGAAGATCAAGTCAATGTCATTGTAGGCACAGTTGCTCTCGGTGCTAAGAATATTACTGGCAGTACTTCCATTCAATCTCAGGTCTCGAACTTTCAATCCTTCGTCCTTCAGGCCCGCTGTCACCGTTTCTATCAAGTCTTTCAGGGGAACTTCGAGCGTAGGAAAATTTCCTCGGCCGTGGATGAAGACGGTTTGGCTCAAGACACTGTGAAGGCGATTAACCTGGTCGAACGTAAGGACTTGGCAGTTATTTTTCAGCTCCATATCTTCAGTTATGATGAATCGTCGTAAAATGTTTTGAATCGATGAAAACTTTGTAGTTCAGCTGATCAAGAAAATCAATGACAGCGAATTCTCCGATGAAGTGAAGCCAAATTTTGCCTACGACAAGTAGATATCATGTCTCAGTCATAATTTATACGATCTGATTGGCTTAGAAAACAATACAACACAATCACTTGGCAACAGCACGAGGGGTAGGGGTGACAGGTTATTATAACCAATGACATGATAGGTTTTTTATCAACCCACAACCCGCCCACAATTCACAAACAGACATTAGACAAAATTTCTTGTTTCAGCTATAAGAGCTTGACTGACTTCCTGTATTTTTGTTTCTTTTGAGCTTTTTTTACTAGGCCAAAAAAAAGAAAAAAAACAACTCTGACACAAAAAAAATTCCCTCAGAACACAAGTTCCCCTGGGAATTTAGTTTATTTCGAGAAGATTAGCGGCTTGGAGGTCATTAGGGAACATTCGTCAACAATTTGAGAAGGCGAAAAATACCTTTATTTGTCCTCGTGCTTGGCATCATTCATGAATAGAAAAGCTTTTTTAGATTTGAAAGTGACGTCAAAGATTGTAAGAGATCTGTTTTCTTGTAAATTTAGTGGGAATCTATTCAGAATTAATTGCTCGGGCCACTGTTCAATAAAAAACCCCTACAAATTATTTATACATAAGGACTGAAACGATTGCAAAGAAAAAGCATCCACTTTTACGTCTGACAATTTCTGCGAGATCACGCAGAGTCTACTCTGTACATGTGTAATAGCCGCCCGAAAGAAAGGATCGGATAGAAAAAGCCTTGAACGTCATTATCAACGGTATCTCAATTTTGTTTCTTTCAGTGAGAGCGGCTAAAACAGAGGCAAGGCGAATCGCACGACGAACACGCACATACCACACGGTGCGAAAATCTCTTAGGTGAAGCCAAGGAGAAAACAGGAATTCGCTTAGAGTCAGTTTCAACTGGTGGAAATTGATTTTCCGCCGGATATACTCATCGTAACTAGTTCGTACTTTTAGTCGTTTTAAAATATCTCGGTCTCCGGCGGTCTAGTAAACACCACCGAGTTCTAATACTAGACAGAATATGCTAAGAAGTACATCATGTGAGGCAGAAACCGGCTTGGAATATCCATTCTAAAAGCAAGTGAATCTAATATCAGTTTGTACAAGCGATCTTTTTAAGTCATATGTACAAACGGGAAGAGAATCTTTCTGGGACAATTTTTTTTCCGACCTTTCCCTCACGTCATGCGGTATAATTTACATTTGAATCTAAGTCACTATTTTCTAAATAAACTTCATCACTTAGTTTAGCTGAATGTGTTGCGTTGGCACAGCGATTTTTATTAACAAGAAACGTTCTTTTCCTGGTCAGATAGCATCGCTAACACCTACTCCTATTGTGAAACGACGAAAGTGAGCCATTGAAATTGACGCGATATGTATGAACACACCTGCCATTTTAAAGCGCGCCCGTAAGTGGAGGAATAAATTCCAAGTAAATAGTATTCCTGTCTTTCATTTTTCAAGCTTCTCGAGAGATCGATCTTAAAGTTGCGTTAAAATAAGACTGGTAAGAGACAGGTATTCACCGCGAAGCGCGTTCTAGCGACCTAATTTAAGAAATGATGTGGAACTGATGCCGGCATACAACAAAAAAGGGAATTCTCATTATTCTCACTACCGACAAGGGAAAAGGTTAAATTACTCATAATAAAACAACACAGGAACTTCCCGCAAGCGCTAGCCAGTATGTCTCGATTTATAAAAATAGCTTTATTGCTCTTTATATATTTATAGTACAGTTCCTTGTCGTCTTTTTCTGTGGAAATTTCTTACGCTACAAGCACTGCATACAACTACAACTACATTCTGTAACTGAACTATGGATCATTTATAGAAAACGGAAATTCAGTACACACTAAACTATATTTAGAGAGAGTCAATGGACGAAAACGATCAAACTTCTTTACGATTCTTACTCCGAACAAATACAATAATTATTAGTGTCTCAACACCTTGAACCTGTTGAAAATAACATCCGCCAATGTTCACTTGTTTTTTTTTTTAATCAAGCTTTAATAAATGGTATGTCAACGTTTTCCTCGCAATACTGCATTAACCTGACATCAATTGCATGTGGTTAAACAAAACATTTAACACACAAATTAAGCAAAGAAACAGGCAAAACTGAAAAAATCTCGACTTAGAAATGAACTCAACATTTCGGCTCTCAATGTTTGGGAGGAAATTCCCATTTTGTTTTTCTGTATTAACATGTTTAATTTGCACTACGACTAATAGACTGTATTTCCTAAAAAATTAAAACAAGTTCTATCAACTCCAAATCTCCCATTTGAAAATTCCATTGATATTTAAGGGGGAATAACAGATAGTTACCATTCAGTTAACCATCAACTGAATAAATACTGATATTTTGTGTTTCAGGTAGCACTGTGCTGCAACTTGTCTTCCAAACAACCATTCAAACAATCGCCAACAGTCACAGGTAGATTTGCCACTTAATATCTTTTAACGTTTCCTTATAGACTTCCTGTGCGGTACGTACTGGCTGGAGTGTGGTAATTATTGCCATTTTCCTAATGGTAAAAATAACAGACAATGATCGACTGACTACATGATTCGTAACACAAAAATACAATTTGATTGTATTGCTCAGTAGCATTGGTTAAACAGGTATTTACCTTCATGTCATACTCCAAAACAAAAGCCGGTATTTCCAGTTGATCTGGGTCAATCCAGTCATACAGGTATTGAATGCCAGACAGAAAGTGTACTTTCTCTTTAATAGACGAAGCAGTGAAAGTCGTGAAGAACCATGTGACAATTCTCGCCCAGAGGGTGGGGTGCACTATATAGAATGCCTTCAGGTTACGTCGATACCTATGTTCAAATGACAAGTGTTAGCGCCATTCAGCCCCTGGTTTATCAAAGTGAGCGATATCGAGACTATTCTTACAGCTTAGTTTTCTCCCACATGGTTGAATTTTAATCAAATTCACTACAATGACAGGAACCTAAAAAATATAACGATAAGACTAACTTGTTATCCACCAGGTGATATATGTCCTTCAAGAAAGACAGAGGAGGCTGATTTTCCTCGGAACTTAGCGTATGCAAGTACACGATAACGTAATCTCTGTTAACAATCTTGTCCAACACATAGATAAAATATGCCACTGCCTGCCAAAATACAAACAACAGCTTGCATAAGGTATACAAACATCAACTTTTAAAAGCTACCCCACAGACAAACGATGAAAGTTTGTGATTCACTTTAGTATGGCTCTGCAGCACTGAGTCAGTTAATGTAATATACCACAAATTTGTTATATGAGGCCTTCTCCCCTTAAAACAAACCTCTTCATTGAACACAGAAAAACCCTCCCATAAAACAGTGACTTTTTTATGCTTTTTAAACATTTCCCTACGACCAGTGAGCATGCAGTATCCAAAATAATGTCGAACCGATTGCATGCTCTCATAATCCATAAATAAAACCAACAAGAGAGATTTTGAAGTCCGCGGCTTCTTATCAGAATTCATTTTTATGTCGAGGAAAAGGTTGTTGTTATTCATCGTGGTAGATGCAATAATAAAGTGTATTATCGTTTGTCTCACGATGTAGTCACTTGAGATGTAGATCGCGACGTTTCGACTACTTACTGCTGTACCACTGTTTTGGCTACAAAAATAACACCACAATAACATACTTGAATTGATGCAAATACAATTCAAGTGGACCACCCAGCATTACTATTACTTCCCACTTTTTCACGAAGCCTGTCTAAAGGTCAAAGGACAGTAGGACACGCCACAATTTGCACGGGTGTTAAGCATCTTGTGAATTTGTACCATACAAAAACTGCAATGTAAATTGTCACTTTCTGACTTTTAGAATAAGAATCGTGACAAACTTTTGGCTACCTGTTCTACTAATTTAGTTGTTCCTGACCTTGATTTCTGAAAATAGTGCTCTCTTGAAAGGACATACGTACCACCCCTCCCCTTGCGAAAGAAGGCCACTGACACAAATATGGAAACACACCTTGTTCAAGTCGACATTTCTTGCTTGAAAATGCCGACCAACAAATACTACAACAGGTCTGCCTAGGAAATCTACACCTGTAAGATTAAGAATTCAGAGATATCAGCTTTATATAACACCTTTCTCATTAGTGTGCCTGTAAGTGAGTGTAAAGGAACTGCTGCAAATTAATTACAGAACTACCTACCATGCTGTGATTGACTGGAAGACGTGCTTTTGAAATAAGACTGCTCAAACGAAATGAGCAAAAATGTCAGTACTGACTGGTAATTTACTATAGCAAACAGACCTGACTGGTATACCATCTTAAGTCTGACAAGACTTGACAAGTCCTCTGTCCTAGCTCGTCGTAACCATCTCTGATACCTGATAAAGAAATGAATATATGAACTTTAAACAGATGAAAACAGTAAATACAATTTGCAATTTTCCATGCACTTTGTCTTGAAACTTCTAAACAGCAAGAAAACTTACATGAAACACTTCAATGCTAAACATATCATACAATGCAACAGTGGTTAAACACACAGTATGTACACGGTGAACTCTGTCACACTGCTGTACGATGTGCAACACATTGACTGGTATGAAATATAGCAACAACCAGGTTCCATAATTATTATAACCACTCGATCTTTTTGAGTCTTTTTTTTGTCTAATGGAAATTTCAAACTTCTCTCCGACAACAGTGGAAAATGAGCTGCTATCTTTCACAGAAGTGGACACAACTAAGCTGAAGCATAATATTATTTGTGACAAAATCACTGTCAAACAGTTGTGGATATGAGAAGACCATTATTTGTAATAAAATTATTGTAGTCATTTGGAGATCATATGGCAGGCAATCAGAAACAAAATAGTGGCACCCATTTATTTCAATATCTTAGAATTTTTCCATAAAATGGCTTATCAAATACTTTTAATTAATGACCCCATATACCTCATGAACCTGTCTTCAGAGTTTGATAATTTGGTTAACTAAGTTTGCCTTACACTCTCTCATGCTGAACGGCATGCAGTTCATTGGGGGATCTTTGTAATCGTTGTCTTGTTAGCTGGTCATGATCTCCTGCCATTGCTGTGAAGGAATGTTTTCCAATAGTAGATGAATCCAACATGTGAACAGCACCAGCTTCTTCAGCTTCTTCTACTTCATCATCTGCACACACACACACACAAAAGAGAGAGAGAGAAAGGCAACAAACTCACCATGAGAGTTAATTTACCTTTACCAACTTAAAACTGATACAAAGCAAGTTGCCTATCATAATCATTAAAATAAATCAGAGCTCAATAACATTACAGCCAAAAAATTGAAAGAGGGTGAGAGCAAGGCCTCTTAGATTAAAACGACTTTTTAAAAAGGTTTTAGTTTGAAAGGAGGTTTGACTTATAGTCAAGATCTTTTCACAACTAGATCATGAACTTAAATATCTTTATTGACATGCTGCAAGGGTTTGGCTTGTGGTGTCACAGTCTATTTTAAAAAGACATTCTTATGTTTTGTAACTTTGTAAATTGGTTATTGACTTTTGTCAAAGTAGTGAATCTAAAATGAGATGTTAGATATGAGATGGTCTTAGTGATGGTCAACAATAAATTATCAATGGCTATTTAATGGTGTCCTTACTTTTACACAACAAACCTCTCTACATTGTACTTAACATGTATTTATGGCTGCAAACACCAATTTTGATGAGACACCAACACCTCATTTCATTTTGCAAAATCAACAATAGCCAAGCTATCATGATCAGGATGCACATACAAATCAAAAACCAAATAATTTAAGTTGATCAGGGAGCATTATGTTAAACTGCACATGCCACTAACTTCTCACACCTTACACTAGCCATGAATGTGTATGACATAATGATGTACTAAAGCATACCATCGTCAAAGTCTCTTTGTCCCAGTGGTTTATCCATGATCCTGATTTGTCTTTCAGCAATCACTGGCTCACCATTCTCATTTCCTTCAATTACAGGAGAAGACAGTGATCAACTTTGACTTTTGACACACACACAATTGTTAATGCTGTATGTGTAATTTAAACAACTACTGTAAATTATCATAATACTCTCTTAACATTATTTGAGTGAGCTGAATATAACTGACTTGACTTGACAACTAGAAAATAGAAAGACTCACAAAAAAACATAACATAACATGCAAGCACAAGAGCAAGTTTGGGAGAAGAGAAAGTATGTTTGATTGGGGGGGGGGGGGGGGNAGGTTGAATAATTAGATTTTAACAAATTAACAGCCACTCGTGAATATGCTATAAATAAACCACATTATTCGCATTATCATTGTCATCATCATTATTTTTTCCCAACAAGCCAGAATAGAACATTTGTTGCCATGAAAAGAAAGTTTCCTAGGTACAGCTATGCACCAAAATTATGAATAAATTAAATGGTAAATTCAAGCCATATCACTAAGTTCATTTTCTTCAATGGCATTATCATCATGTTCCTCGTCAGCATTCAGTTGCTTGAGTGCATCATTTGAACAGATATCAAATTATAACATGGTGTTGTAACAAGTCAAAACAGATTCAGTGAATGGTACTTAATTTTTTACTGTTAATGTAATTTTCCAACCAAGCTCTTGATTTCACTGTTGCCAGTATTTTTCAAAGCCAAATGTTTGAGATATGTTTGAGAATAATTATGAATTCAGTCATTGTGAGACAGGTTAAATCAAACATTGCTTAAGGTAACAGAGCAAACAGTTTGAGTGAAAATTTCACCAACTGACAGAGCCAGAGACAGAGAGTGGTTTACATGTAGTTTGAACTGTTTCTTCCCACGAGAACATAACCTCCGTCCACACTACAACACATATAAAGCAGACTGAGAAATTTATCTCACCAATATCATCAGGGAGTTCATTCAGTGCGAAGTCCTCCTCCTCCTTGTTTCTAGGAAAGTAGAGAGGCATGACCTTCCTGTAAATGGCCTGAAAACAATTAAATATGAATCAAATTTAATACCCCTGACTGTAATAATAGCTAGTACTTGACTAAGACCAAAATCACTTCATTGACCATCACCTCATCAGCATTTTCAACAGCAAAAACAACAAGTTCGATATCTGCAAACTTTTCTAGAAATCGTCGGACAGTCCCTGTTAAAAGAGGATACAAAAAAATAAGGAAAAAAATTGTTTCTGCTATTAACGCAAACCAAGGTAACGATAAAAATAAATCGTCTGATAGCAATTCTGTTACCAATTGTTTGGTGCAAAGCCATCAAAAGTGAAGAGAAACAAGAAAAAAGTGGTGACCAGTGATCGCTTTTGGCCCATAATTTTAATGTACTAATAGAAATTGTTGCATCTAAAATGTAAATTACTTACGCAAAGCAATGTGAGCACCATCCTCAGGGGGATACCCTCGTCTTGAAGTGTTTATTACACAAAGACCAACTGATGCAATTCGTGACTCCCTAAAAGATAAAATGCATGTGGTTTAAAACACATCAATCAGCTCAGTATATCCTTAAAGCATGAAGAGTATTGCAGTGGAAGTGCCAATCTACAAACCCTTTCATGGAAGGTTTTGCCTCATTTTATAAAACCTGTACAAAAAAGTCAATTGAAAATAAAAATCAAAGTGGCTATGAGCCACTCAAGTTGGAAAATGGATCGTCTGTAAACAGTGACAATTTTGATGCCACTGACTTGAGGTTTTAATCCACAGGTTAAGTTAAAGTTAAAGCCCATAGTGCAAAACGCAACCGCAAGAGAATATACAAGGAGATGTAACACTGTTGAAAACATTCATGAGGTTTTCAGTCCGAGAAACCGAGACAATTATAAAGAAAGAAGGGGGGCATCAGGATTTTCAGTTTTGTGGTTTGGGCTATTTTTTGGCTCGGTTTTTCGGTTTTAGTGACAAAAGACTTGATTTTTTTGGTTTTGGTGTTCATTGCGGTTGGCGGATTTTTTGTTTTTTAGCATCTGGTTTTCGGTTTTCATAAAAAAATACAAGTGGTTTTTCGGTCTTGGTATCCGATGAGGTTTTTGGTTTTTCCTTTTTTGTCCTATTTGGGCTCTGGTTTCTCTTCGATTTGAGTTGCAATTGATCTTGAATAGCTGTGAAACACCGAAGTTATTGAGAGGAATGCGTGACAAACTAAATGTCACGGTAGGGGATCACACGTCTCGAATGACGCCCGAGACTTTGACCTTGCAGACCAGGGCAATCATTTGGTCAATTGCCACCGTTCCCCCCCGCACCAGCAACGGAAGAAGCAATTGTGGATTGCGTTGTGTTTTTTTACAAGGAGGGGAAAGGTGGCGAGAATTTTCGAAAGAAAAACACGTTTAGATGTAAAGTGAAAAGGGAAGAGAGAAGCCTGCAGAAGCTAAGATACTAAAAGATACGTAGGCTTCAGACAAGTCCATAACATTCACAAATACTTTGATAAAATTAGTGTTAGTGTAATTTGCCCTGTATGCCAAACTTGTCACCATTGTATTGGTTTTTGATGGTTTTGTATACGGTTTTCCGTTTTGGGCGGATTTTTTTGCGGTTTTGCAGTTTTGGATGATTTTTTCTTCGGTTTTGTGGTTTCTAATATACCCCAATGCCCCCCTCAGAAAGTACCGCTTCTTGTCCGATCACCAAAGCAAATAATAATTCTCATTTTCATTCCTCTCATTTTTTTCGTTCCTTATTTTCCCAGCCAGTATCAGTTATTTTTTTTCTATCTTTGTTACCTTTTCTCATCTTAGAAATTAAAAAAAGTGCGTTCAGCATAGAGTCACTATACCACAAGGACAGCACCACGTCTCATCCACTCAACAAAGTTAAGCCCTGTTTGGCGGGGTTAATACTTGGATGGGTGACCAAATACGAAACTGAAAACCCCGTGTTGTAATAACTTCTTTTTTTCCCCTTCCCCTTTTCAAGGCAATATTAAAGACTGCAGAACTCCCAGCCTTGTGTAATGTTGGTCCTTCTACATTTATTTATCAACTACTTTGTTCCTCATTTTGCCATGTCTGTATTTACGTGTTTAATTAAAACATTGTATAAATAAACAGCAGAACACGTTGTTCCAATTCTCCTCAATTCTCGCCTGTTGATCTCCCAAAACATTTAATCACGGCTTGAATCATTCGAAAATTCATACAGCTCATCAATTTTGTGACTTTCAATGTCTTCTTTTTTTGGCAATCGAGTATGGTGAAATCTGCATGAGTGGGCACGTTCGGGAAATGAGCTATTTATATAATAATTACAGGTAGCTTCTATTTAAAAAAAACGTTTGTGCGAAAGTTCATTCAATGTAGAGCATTTTTTCAGTAAGATATTGAGTACTTGCATCAGAAATTCAAAGAATACCTAACTTGACACAGTGCAAGCGACCGTAAAACGGCCTTAAATGGTGGATGTTCCAAACCTGGGGGGAACTCCTATATGAAAAGATTGGGGATGCTCATCGTCTTGGGTACAAATCAAGTATTCTGGTCTCACTTAAGGTGTTGATGACAAAACGTCACCATTTGTAGCTGTGAAAGTAACCTT